CTTGACCTTGGGCTTCTCAGTTGTGCTCTTTCGCGGCTTTTTGGCTGGTGGGGGTGGTGCATAGGCAGCTGCCTCGGGTTCAACCCACATGTCTGTGTAAACTTCCTTGTAGGGATTTTTCTCCTCTGCACCAGGAAGGCAGGTGACCAGGTCAGTTACAGGCTGACGTGGAACCCCAACTCCCTTGCCATGCCACCTATGTGGAGTGTAGCCTGGTCCTCAACTGATTCCTACCTCCCAATTCTCAGGGTCAGGCAAGCCAGTGCAGAGCAGGTTATTCTCAATTTCCAACACAACCCTGAATCCAGGTGAGGGAGGCCATGGCCACTCCTCTGGGCCCCTCTGTGGGACCTTGACAGCTCTCCCCAACAATGGCTCTCCCAGCCCTGGCAGGAATCTGGCTGGTAGGGGTGCCAAAAGGCTGGGCTGAGTACCCATTTACCTTCTGGTGGCTCTAGGCCCTTCGGGCCAGAGGGCTGGAACCCCCCGAGGGCCCATTCAATCATCTGCTTGTTCTGCACCTCCACAACCTTGGCAGTGTCACTCTCGTCACTGTCATGGCAGGCTGGGAACAGCTTCCCGGCACGGCTACTGGCCACCTGGAGGGCAACATATGGGACATGGGTCAGCACAGGCTGGATGGCAGGTGAGGCCTACTCAAGGGCGGACTCCAAGAGCAGCGAAGGTGGGCAGGGGTGGGGATGGGAGACCATCTGAAGAGGCAGAGCCTAGAAGCGGGAGGTGAGTAAGTAAGCTCAGAAGGAAAGAAGTCCCCGCCAAAGGGTCTTAAGCAACGCCCAATTTCACGGCAGCTTCCAGGCCTCCTGGTGGCCCCGCTGGCTAAGCTCTCTCCTCTGTGCCCCTGGAGGCACAGCTCACCTGGAGGACTTCGTAGATGGCTTTGCGGTACATGGGCTGCTTGTTGTAGGTGGCCTGGTGGAAGGCGCTGCAGAACGAGCTCAGCGGCATCAGCTTCTCTACACACACCTGGGGACGAGCAGACCGTTTGTTCCTCTCCCACTCCCAAGCTCCCTCTGAATGCCTCGCAATTATCAGGGCTGGGAGTACCAGAGTCAGTCTGGGCCTATAGGGCCTGAAGTATTGACAATTAATGACAAATGAGCAAAAGCGGGAAGACCACCTGAAGGCCGGGAAAGCAAAAGCGGGAAGACCACCTGAAGGCCGGGAAAGAAATTCCTAGGAAGGGACTCCTGGCAGCTAACAGGCTGGCAGAAGCACCCACAATCTGAGCCAGGGGTGCCACTTAGTCATCTCCAGGGTTTCTTCCATTCACCACATGCAGGTAAAAAGAGCCTACTTCCACCACCCCAATTCTAGACAAACTGCTACAACTACAGGCCCCGGGTCTGCGACCCCCCCAACACACTCCAGCCAACCCCACACTCACCACTGAGAACTTGCCGTCTCCGAACCACATGACCCAGCGGGTGCCTTCAGCTGCACGGCTCCGGCCCGTCATCCACCAAGACACAATGCGGCCTGGCCACCAGGAGAAGCCCCGCAGTTTCCCCCACACCAGCTCCCCAATGCCAAAGCCCCGGCCGTCCTGGAGCCCCAAGGAGCAGAAATAATTACACGGCGGTCATGATGCCCTGCCACCCTGATCCCCCCATGGCAACCCTAGCCCTGGCCATCTGGGGGCAAGACAGCCAGGAGAAAGCTCCACATGAAAGGAGGGAGACAGCAAAATCGGGGCAACGATGAAGACGAGGCCCGGGGTCAGAGTGAGCGGCCAGAGGGAGATGGAGAGCAGGATGGGAGGAGCTGGCAGGAGAAGGCCCCAGGAAAGAGCTGGACTAGGCTAGTGAAGTAGCAAGCCGCTCACCTCATACTCTGGCTCATCATCGGCTGATTTGGTGGCATTTTTGTCCCCAGCGTCAGCCCCCACGGGCTCGGGTGTGGTGGCCACAGTGGGAGATGCTGGGTCAGTGGGCTGCTGCACAGCAGGAGGGCTGGCCTCCTCCACCTTCTGAGCCTCCCCGGAGCCCTGGTTCTCTTCCACAGCATTCATTACTGCAATGACCTTGGCTTTCTTCTCAGCCTGAGGAAACAAAGAGCAAGTCACCTTGACCCCTCCAGGAATCAGCAAAGCAATGTGAGATGGAGGGGCTCTTCCCGTCTGTGGTCTGGAGACAGTGACGGGAGGTAAGGGGCCAGAGAGAACAGCTCTTCCCTTATCAACCCAACTGGCTCACCATGGAAATGGAAACAGCTGAAGTTGGGAGGTGAACTCAAATAACTAGATTCCATTCCAGCCTTTTTTTCTGCCTCTCAGGAAACCTCCCTCCATGGCCTAATCCTTGCCCTGGCCAGCTCATTAGTTGCCCACCCTCTGATCTGGAAAGGATGATTCTATTCAAATATTAATTATGCACCATTGTTCAGGCACAGATATTGGCTCCAGTCTCTCCTTTCTTCCTTTCCAATCAAGAAGGGGATCTCTCATCTTTTTCTCCACAATTTCCCTTGGCCACCATCCCTTCTTTTCCTAGTTTCCTAGTTTCTACATCACAGTTATAGTTCTGTGATGCCTACAGATTATTTATAGAGCACATCTCCCCCCAAAATCTGCTCCAAGTCTATAGAATGCTCAAGAGCCTGCCTGCTCCCATGCTCAGACTTCACAGCTAACGTACTGTATGCTGTTACCTTCTATGTGCACCTTTCATAACCGTAAATACATTGATTCATTCAATTATTTGCTGAGCACACAGATCAGGCATTCTCTGCCATCCCACCAACAAATTAATAATCCAAACCCCAGTTATTTTCCCATTGAACAGTCTCCAATCTTTCACCGTATCACACTCGTCTTTGAGGCTACGATCCACACGCCCATTCCTTCTCAAAACCTGCTCCAGGAGCCCTATAAAGGAGAATGAAATCCTTGATACTTAGTTCTGAGAACCATTCAACTTAATCTCACCCCCACTACTGAATCTAGCACACCCGGAACTCAAACTTCAAGACTCTGCAACCATTTTCCAGCACACTAGATTCAGAGGGAAAAAAAATCCCATTTCTGTGTGTGTGTGCGTGTGTGTAGGTCCTTGCACATGCCAAGCACATGTTCTACTACTGAGTTCCTTTTAGGAGAGAGTACCGGGCACTCAACCACTGAGCCATATCCAAGCTCTATTTTATCTTTTACTTAGAGATAGGGTCTCTCGAGTTGCTTAGCACCTGGCTTTTGCTGAGGCTGGCTTTGAACTCTCAATCCCCTGCCTCAGCCTCCAGAGCAGTTGATTAGAGGCGTGCGCTGCTCGGTCGAAATTCCATTTTCAACACAGCTTTCCCCTAAGAGCCTGAAGTTGCTAGTGCAAACCCACCCTCAAGTTTTCAAGTAATCAGAAAGCAAGCTGGAGAATAAGAGAACTAAACCAGAAGTCGGAACAGTCCATTCCTGCCTTAGCCTGGCAGCTCATTAGTAGCTGAACGGCCAGAGTCCCTTCTTTACAGAGTTGCCCCAACCTGAAAGGGCATTTGAACTGCAGGGTTTCTGGCCACCTGTTTAAGAATCTTGATGTACACACATATCAAGGATCCCAAGGACTCTTCCAAAGCCTGTCAATGAACCCCACATCCAAGGGTCCCAGATTAAGAACCTCTGTTTTAAGGTCAAAGATCTAGTGCATTGACTGGTAGGTTCACTTTATTTCGTTCAATCTTCAAGTTTTTGCCTCACGGCAACAAGTCAAATCTTTTTCTTGTGGCGACTCCTAAAACACGGATGATGTTAGTCATAGCTCTCTCTCACTCAACAAATTCTAAAATGAGATAAGGTATCCTCTGCCCCCAGCCCACAAACAGCTGGGAAAATGAGCTCAAGGTAGCCTGGCAGGGGTGGAGGAATGCAGAGTAATTGCTCAACCCACCGGCCCCAACCTCACCTGGAACTTCCTTCCCCTTCCTTCCAAATCAATGAGCTATCACCTCCTCCCCCAAGAAGAGGTACCCAGGCTAGATCTCTAGGAAAGCCACTTCTTTTCCTGGAATCACCAGCTAGTTACTCCAAATAACCATCCTGTCCTCCCCCCCACCTCCCACCCTGGTGTCTGCTCCCTCTACTGTGTTTTCTTGACCTTCAGGCAGGAACGACTGACCTAGATTGGGAGTTTGCCTGGGAAGTCCCAAAGACCCAGTTTGTAGGACTGATAGGCCCGTCAGCCAGCATAAGGCAAGCAGGTGGCAGGACAGGAGGGGAAGGGACCCCCTCTAACATCCACAGTAGGCAGCAGCCAGTGGATGCCAGCTCCCCACCAGGTTCCCAGGTCTAGAAGGGAGTCGTGCCTGCCACCACCTTCAGTACTCCCCCACAGCCCCTTTGTCTCCCTCCTCACCCCCTCTACAGCAGTTCCTGAAAATTCTTCTTCCCCCACAACTTCCCCCAGCTTGTCAGATGCTGCCGCTGATAGCTGCTCCGCATCCCCAACCCACTTAGTGCAGGAGAACAGGCGCCCAGTACGGTAGAGGCTTACAGAGGAGGAAGGGGGCCTCCACCAGGACCAGGCTGCAGAGGAGGGGGGTTACCAGCAGGAGGCCAGAGGAAAGGGGAAGGAGGGCTGGAGCAGCCGGTGGGGGAGGGGCCTCACGAGAATAGTCAGCCCAGGGCAAGAGAACCAACCTCCAGTCCTCCTTCACTACCCCAGGCCTTCTCCCCAGGGGAACAATAGGAGAGGGAAGGGTTAACTTGGGGCTCTCGACTTTGGACTGAAGGCTCCTCTCACAGAGAGCAGGCCGAGAGTCTGGGCAGGATCCAAAGAGGGACACTACGCCATCCCCCACTACCCCTGACTCAAGGAAATCACTTGGCCAGGAGTCTGTCCAGCCTGGGGAAAGCCACTGGTAATTCCACTGACTACCGCCTCCCGGCCCAGGTCCATTTCCTAGGGCAGCTGTCTGCCTCCAACTCCTCCTGCAATTCCCAGTCCAAAGGTCAGAGGTCTTAGCGCCTGTACTCCCAAGCCCACGAGGTCTCGGGCTATCCCTGTGTCACAGGGCATCAGGCTGCCCCCACAGCCCGTCAGGGTTGTATTGATCCCCGCCCCTTCTTCTGGCAGCCTGCCCTGTGGCTCCCAGGAACTTCATGGGGGGAAAACTATCCCTCAAGAGGCCACAGCTGGAAGGTCCCTGAGGGCAATGTGATCCCCCAACCCGGCACAGAGGTCAACGGGAAATCGCCAGGCACCATCTGCCAGCAGCTCAGCCCAGGCTGCTTCCAACCCAACTCCTGGTCACAGCTGCCCTCGGCCAGGCCGCCTGCTCCCCCAGCCTGCAGTTACCACTGCCCGGGGTGATCTTCCTGTCCCCTGAGGGCGCCAGGTGCCACTAGAGCCCGGGCCTTGGGGCTCCTGAACAGGAGTGGGCGGGACGGCACTAAGTCAGCATCTCCAGAACTCTAGCCGGCCCGGGACGCCGCGGCAGCTGCGGACCGGGGAGGCATACTTGACTCTTTTGAAACACAGAGGGCTGCGGGGATCCTCCCACCGGCCTGCCGCCTCCCCGCCCCCAGTCTCCCCAGGGCTCCGTCCAGGAACCTACCCATAAGGCCAGGTGCAGCCCCTCTGCGGTCCGGCTCAGGTGTGAGCCCCGGCCCTGAAGCTCTGTAAGTAGCTGCCCGTCTGGGGGGAGGGGAAGGGGGCGATGGGGCTGGGGGCGGAGGGGGCCAGAGTGAGGGGGAGGGGGCGGTGGGGGGGAGGGAGGGAACATTTTCTTTGTCTAGAACTCCAGGTCACGTGGGCCCCGCTGGAGTGCCTGGTTGGCTGTTGGCGGGCCGGGGGAGGGGGCCGGCCTCCGACGCTGGCAGTGGGCCAGCCCCTCTCCGGGGTCCGAGGGGCGCGGGGGCCTGGGGGCGAGGCCGGCCCGCGCCCGTTCCCAGGGCCCCGCCCCGGCCGGCCGAGCGCTCCCCTCCTCCGGCCGGCCCGCCCTGCCCCCGCGGCCCCCTCCCGGGAGGAGATTAGCGGAGCCGGCCCGGCGGGGAGCCGCGGGAGCGGGGAAGGAGGGCCGCAGGGAGGGGCGGTGTGCGCTGGCCGCGGGCCCTCGGGGAACCTGGTGGAGTCCAGGGACGGGAGCGGAGCTTTCGGACGGTCTGGAAGAGCCGGGAGAAAGTTGTAGAAAGTGAGTTTCGCAGAAGCACGACCGGAAAAAGAAAGAAAAAGCTCACAGATAAGCGAGTCCCAGGCAGTTCAGGGAAACTCCGAATACAGATGGAGGGACAGAAGGCAGCCGAAAGGAAACTGCGCGCTCCAAGACGAGAACTGCTGGGGCGTCTCCCCTTCACGCTACAGGTGGACAGAGAGGGTGCTTACGAAGAGTGGTTGATAGATTCGGACATTGTGAGCCTCTAACTGGCCAAGTCCCGGCAGCCCCCGGGTGGCTCATTTTCCTATTTGTAATGTTGAGTTGTAAAGTAGAGCAATGCCTCCGTTCCCAGCCAAGCCATGTGTAGCTTAAGACGACATTATTGTCGCCAGGAACCTCCAGGTGTAGCCTCCGCCATTTCAAGCTCCCTCCTAAGCAGAGGCACCTACCCACAAGGTGACACAAAGTCTCCACCCAGAGCCCTCCATTAGATGGGCTGTAGCATCAGATCCAGGAACAGACACTTGGCCCTGCCCTCAGGGAGCTGCCAGATTCCACTAGTCTTGGGGAGACTGGAAAATCCACTGAAAAACAAGTGTATATAAGATAACTGTACCACAGATCCCAAGCAGATGGCTCACAAGACAAAAAAATGGGTGGTAGGAATGATGAATGAGGTTACAGAGGTCAGAGGATGAATGGGATTTGGAATGAGGTCAGTCAGGCAGGATAAGAGATAGAGATATTAGGCAAATGAAGGAGGGAGAACCATGCTCACCTCCACCCTCCCAGTTCCACTAAAGCTAAGAGGAAGAAAAATATAAGGATAGATTGTAAGAAGGGTCAGGCATGTCAATGGATATATTCTGTAACAGTGAAGGATATATTCTGACAAGATAAATGGGTATTTTAGAAAAATTAGTCCTATTTTGAGTTTGCAAGATGAATTAAAAAGGACAGCAAACTGAAGGTGAATGCTCCCAGCAGGAGAGGGCTGTCTGGCTGCAAAATTGGCAGAAACCTGGACTTGAGTTCTGATGCCACCAACATGACCAACATAACCCCAAGAAGTCTGTTTTCTCATCTGCAAAACAAGAGAGATGACATCAGCTCTCTCAAGCTTGGAAGACCAGCATCCTAAGGACAATGAGATAACTCCCCAGGTGCCTGGCCCCCAGCCATAGTCAACTGGGACATACCAGCTGGAACAGGTATCAGAATAATGAGGACAAGAAATGCACTGTTAAGGACAGCCCACATCTCTTCAGGGTCTCAGCTTATCCTTCCCAGGGCCATCAGAACAAGTAAGCCCTGAAAAGAATGGAGGTCTCCATATCAGAGGACCTTCTGCATATAGGACTTGAGTTACAAGCTTCCCTCTCAACACTAAACTTGTTCACAAGGAAAAAGCAGTTCCATCAGCAACAAAAAAGTCCTCTTTCGTCCCAATCCATCTTTCAACCTAATCAAGTTATCTGTTTGAGACATCTTTTCAGGAGATGCTCCAGCCATCATGAGAAGCCCAGAATTTGGGGCTAGGTGTGTAGGTCAGTGGTAAAGCCTGTTCCTAGCATGAAAAAGGCCCTGGGTTTGCCCTGAATTTACCCCTCTTGCCTGCCCCTGACATTTAAGGAATGTGAAATGATTTGCTTAGGTGCTTGCCCTTCTGCTGCCTTCTTAGCATCTGGGCCCTGTCAACAACCACCTTAGACCTTCACCCCAGGCCTCCTCTCAAAAGGAAGTTTTTGATTTCTGGCTTGGCTCTTCTTTTCATATATCCTATCTCATCTGTGATACCTCCTTTTCCATCATAATACAACTGAACACCTCAGTCTGTTCTGTGGTCCTAGGACTTCTCCAGACAGTAATAAGGCCTGAATGTGCAGCCAATATTGAAAAGTGTCAGAACTGACCATTTGCTTTTCTCAAATGGCCCACAAAGAAAGTAGCCACTCTCCCCTAGCTGTCAAACTTATTTATTTTCTTCCTTTAAAATTCAAGTCAAGCCAGATGTGGTTATGGACACCTGTAATATTAGCTACTCTGGAGGCTGAGGCAGGAGGATTGTAAGTTTGAGGCTAGCCTCTGCAACTTACTGAGACCCTGTCTCAAAATAAAACTGAGGGCCCGGAGTTGTAGCTTGGTGGAAGAGTGTTGCCTAGCACTTGAGGCACTGGGGTTCAATCCTCAGTAGCACATAAAAATAGATAAATAAATGTATTGTGTTCATCTATAACTAAAACTATTTTTAACATAAATAAATAAAATAAAATTGAAAAAAGGGCTGGGAATGTAGCTCAGTAGTTGAACACTTGCTTAGCAAGTGTAAGGTCCAGGATTCAATACCCAATGCCACAAAGTTAATTTTAATTTAATTCAAGTCAAATCTTAGCTCTTCCACACAGCTTCCCAACTTAAGAAAAAGGAAGCCCAGACTCAAAAGTATCCCCTAACAAAATGAGGGCATCTTCCTTTCCTGTGGCCATGCAGACAAGAAACACTGCCCTTTTACGGACTGAGTCATGTAACCAGGCATGTGTCTTCTTTAGGATCAGTAGACAAGAATCAGACCCCAAAGCAGAAGAGACCCCAAGATCTAGGATAAGTAAGAGGTGATTTTGGAAAAAGGTCAGATATTTAAAAAAAAAAAAAAAAAATACAGGGTAGCCTTTAAGGAACCTCATGTCACATATGCCTTTGACCTTCCGGGTAATTCCTGAGATAGGTCTTTTGATTGAGATAAAGATAGTCAACTTAAAATAGCAGCTTAATGTAAAATAAGCCCTGTCCTTGGAATTATCATCAAAGTATGTTGAAAGGAGGGACTCTTGGATGAAAAGAATGTGGTGGATGTCAAGAGCCTAAAAGAGGTGCTAGAGAGGAAGGATCCACCCTGGCCCAACAGAGAGGTGACCTCAAAGACAGAGCATATTTCCTCTCTGGCAGGCAAAGGCAGCAGTGACTCAACCGGCCACAGAGATGATGAAAACCTCTTGGGGACACCTGACTCTCAGCCCTATGCTGTATTCATCAAGCAAACTCCTAACTTTAATTACATTTTCCAGTGGCGCTCATACCTTTTATGTTGCCAGAAAACCACAGGACAAGTATTATGATCTATGTGACCAGAACATGTCCTATTCTAAATTGCTAAATATACTCTTCTGGTATATGTCACTCTCTGGGGACTTTGAAGAACATTGTCATAAGAGTGCACCCTTGCCAGGCGCCTGCCTATGATGCCAGTGGCTGGAGAGGCTGAGGCAGGAGGATCGCGAGTTCAAAGTCAGTCTCAGCAAAGCAAGGCACTTAGCAACTCACTGAGACCCTGTCTCTTAATAAAATACAAAATAGGGCTGGGGATGTGGCTCAATGGTTGAGTGTCCTGAGTTCTCAAATCCCTGGTACAAAAAAAAAAGGACTTTCAGGCCCAGAGAACTGAGATGAGACCCTAGGCCAGGATATTGAACCAAAGAGCAGTAATGCCTGGAGGTCCAAGCTGCAATGGCCACTCCTACTTGCCTTGTTTTAGCTCAAGTTCAGTGTTCTGTAGCATGTCTTAAAGTGCCCTGCTGGCAGGGTGAAGGCAGTCTATTTGTTGCCATAACCAACAGGACACTTAACACCTGTGTCCCTTTACTCAAAATCAGAGAAGCCACGACCCTAAAAGCCATCTGCAAAGCAACACACTGGGGAGTCACTTCCTGTCCTCACTGACCCTACCAAACAAAAGACCGTGAGGTCAGGTTGGGTGTTCAAACCTGTCCTCCTGCCCCCAGCTTAAAGGCCTCAGTGCCAGGTGATCAATACTCTTTGCACAACACTCAAGGCCCCCACAAATCTGGAGGCCTCTGTGACATATCACGCAGCCCATGCTCTGCCACCCACTTGCCACTCCTCATGCTGCTCCTCTTGGAATGCTCTTCCCCTTCAACTTCCACCAGCCCAGATCCTGCCCATCCGTCTACGCCAGCTCACCAGTTACCTCTACCAGGGAAATTTCTCTAGCCCTGTGCTTTCCACTAAAGTAGCTACTAGCTGCATATAGCTATTGAAAATAAATAAAAATTAAAATATGGTTGTTTTTTGCACTAGCCACATTCTGAGTATCCAAGAGAACCACAAGTGAATGGGGGCTACTGTACTGGATAGCACAGATTATAGAACAGTTCCCTCCCCACAGAAAGTTCTTTTGGACAGGGCTGCTCTGGCCCTTTACCCTTGTTCCCGCTATTGTCCCTACCTTCCCCTATAGTCCCTTATCTACTACCTTGTCTCTTCCTTCTCCTGCTCCTCCTCCTCCTCCCTACCATGTGTAACCCTCCCTTAGATCTGCTGGTCTTACAGGAAGGCAGCTGTGTATACTCCTTTTCTCTGGGAGATAAATATCAGAAGGCCTGAACTGGATCTTAATTCAGTTTGATTTGGAAGCTCTGTGGACAGGGCACCTTAATGGAAGACTCAAACATTGGTTCCTGAACTGAAGGCAACATTGTCTCAGAAGCTTTATCCTAAGCCACCCAAGTTCCAGGTTGGGGGACAGATAACTTTCCACTGTAGAAATTCTAATGGTTGCCGAGGGTCTGGGTCTAGGCTCCCCAAAGCAGCCAAGAATCTTCATTTTCCTATTCCCCTGCAATCCATGGGGGGTTGCAAGCAAATGACCAGGACTGGGCTGCTGGCAGTGAAGCTAAAAATAGCCACAGAGCCAACAGCTTGGAGTTAGCAGGACTTGTTGCTAAGGAGACGGCCGCAGAGAGAGCAACTAAGCTGGAGAAGGTGTCAGACGTGCACCCAGAGAGCAGAGGCCATGCTGGGGGACTTTAAGTTGACAGGGGGGGTCCAGGGCTCCCACCTAGGGATGTGCAGCCTTCTAGCAGCTTCTGACTAATACTCTAAGTGGGGCAAAAGCCCCCCCCCCATCCCTCAGTACCTCATCTCCATGGAAACCACCATGACTTGGGTGAAGCACCAGCCCCTGGAAGGGAGGCCTCTGCCTGGAGCTGGTTGTTATGGCAACATCCCCCCCTTCCTGTCATTCTCTCTCTCCTGGCTTCTCCTGAGGGAAGAGGTGGGGGCCGGACTTGGCTTAGCCAGCATGACCAGGAAACACTGGCTTCCTGGCACAACTAACCTGCCGGGGGTTCCAGAAGCTCCTGGGAGCCTAGAAAGGCCAGTCAGCCCTCAGCCCCAGGTAGAACTTCCTTTTCTTTCCACGAGGCCTCTGCAGGTCATCCTGCCAGGAGAACCCCAAAACTTACTGGGTTTAAATGCGATTAGGATCACCCAAGGAGGATTTTAAAAATAGAGATTCTTGGGCCTTACCTATCAGCAGCACCCTTGGGGAGGGGCCCAGGACTCTAGTAAAACCTCTCTAGGTAATGCTGATGCCAGCCAGGTGTGAGAACCAGAGACTCTTTGTTACAAATGAGGAAACTGAGGCCTAGAAAGGACTGTGCCCACCTGAAGAGCCAGAATCACTAACTGAAGAGGAAGTGGGGTGGAGAGAAGACTGTAGGAAGGAGGACATGCGAAGGTGTGTGCCCATGCCACACTTCAGCCACTTGTCCCAGGCCAGCCACTTCACCTCCAGGGCCTTCCCCTTCTGCTCCCTTTCTGGTCATATCCTTTATTGCCTGATATTTGGTCATGATTTAAAACCGCAGGGCTGGACTAGCTTTGCCCTATGGAAGAAAGCAGAAGGCAGTAGGCTGGGAGTCTGGTTCCCAGAGTGTACAGAATGGTGGCAGTCCAGGCAGATGATTTGGACTGAAAAGAGAAATCCATCCTCCCCCTCCTCCTGAAGAAAAGCAAAAGGGTCACCATGGCAACTGCAGTGTGCTGGACAAGTTGGGCTCCATGCCACAAGCCCAAACCTGGGCCCTGAAGCAGAATCTCTCCCTGCAGTTCAGGAGAGGCACGGCACTTGTGTGAGAGCCACTGGGCAGGGACACCCCCACCCCCACTTATCAGATTAATTTCCTGAAACCAACCTCAGTGAGCCTGCCTGAAACACACCTAGGCCCAATATGGCCCCAGGGTGAGTCCCAGGCACCTGCTGGGTTGGCAGGCCCTGAGGAAGGGAAAAAGAAGTGGAGAGATGGGCCTCCACCTTCTGTTACTCACAGCCTAATTGTGTATCACAGACCCGCCACACATAAACCACAGCCCACGTTCAAGACAACCTGCAATTAGATGGCAAATTACTTGGTAGTGACGCTTCCTACATGTGCCCAGGGAAATCAGACACTCAGGGATCAGCAAAGGCAGGAAGATTCAAGGGAAGACAAGCAAGGGTGTACCAGAATGGGCATACCCTCTCGCTTTTCAGGCAGGAATGGCCAGATTTGGGAGTCGCCTACTGCTGCATTAGCCCCAGCAGATGAGGGGAAGAAACAAACACAGGCATAGTCACTAGCGGATCTGGTAAGAGGGGCTGAAGCATGGGACCTGCTCTGCCCGGGCTCAATGGTGCAAGCCTGTAATCCCAGTGGCTCAGGAGGCTGAGGCAGGAGGATTGCGAGTTCAGAGCTAGCCTCAGCAAGTTAGCAGAGGCACTGAGCAACTCAGTAAGACCCTGTCTGTAATAAAATACAAAATAGGGCTAGGGATGTGGCTCAGTGGTCAAGTGCCCCTGAGTTCAATCCCGGTAACTTCCCAAACGCACACACACCACCATCTCCCCCCCCACCCCCGCAAAAAAGAAAAGAAAGATAGAGGCCCTTGGTTCCATCCCAAACACCACAAAAATAAGTAAATAAGATGCAGGGTAGAGGCCCTGCCAGAAAGCCAGTCCTTCCCTTCTCACTGACCCACCTCCCCTCCCTGCCACCCCAGCTCTCTCCCAAGCAGCCCTCAGCCCTCCTCGCTCAGCCCTATGCTTCCCTAATGGCTTATGCTTGGAAGCCAGAGGGACCAGGGCTGCAGCTAGACCTCCTGCCTCCCTCTGCCCACCTGCATTCTCTTTCCTGAAGCTCCAGGGCTGATCCTCCTGTCCTGTCACTTTTGTCCACTAACAAAGAACTGCTGGGTCTGCATTGCTTCACCTGAGCCTGGGGACCTGGGCAGGCAGCAGAGATGACATTACAGGGGTGAGGTGTAGAAAGCTGCACTGACCCCAGGACTTACATGCTCCTTAACATGAGAATTAAGGGTGGGGGCAGGTGGTGGGGGGAGAGGTGTAGTCTGGACTAGGCAAGGTATAGCTGATGACAAGACCTTACCTCACCACCTAGCTTCTCTGGACCGGTTTCCTAGCCAGCCAACAGGACTATAAATATCTGCCAAATATCACAAATAAGATCAAAGGAGGGCTGGAGTTGTGGCTCAGTGGTAGAGCGCTTGCCTGGCATGCGTGAGGCCCTGGGTTGGATCCTTAGCACCTCATAGAAATAAATAAATAAAATAAAAGATCCATTGACAACTAAAAAATATTTTTAAAAAATTCAAAGGAAATCAGAGTGGGCAATACTTGGAAAGCAGAAAAACCTTATGACAAGTTTGCTTTAGAACATGTGGATGTTTTCACTTTGTTTTAGAAGCCAGTCCCGGGGAGAAGTGCTAATTCTATACTGGGAGGAGGGGCAAAGGAACTGGTACACCTTAACCACCACCCTTCCCCCACCCTGTATTCCAGAATCTGGGGGCCAAGGGGAGGGGCTAAGGGACCACCATTCAGATTCAGGCATGCAGACCCTCTCAAGTTTCAGAGTCCAAAGAGAAAGAAGACCTAGCAGGCCCTGGGGACAAACATGGCTACTGCCATCTCCATCAGAAAGGGAAAATTTAAATTCCTGTACCCAGCCCTTTTCCGGTCTTCCCCCACAACCCTGCCCAGGCTTACAAAGTGCCTGCCTCCAAGCCCATCTTTTTTCCTCCGCTGGTCCTTCCAGATCCAAGAGCCTGCATCTGGGCCTACATCAGAATGACCTGGAGGCCTTTAGCAATGCCTTGAGCTGGCTGCCACTAAATTCCCGGTGTGATTAATCCAGGCAGGTTGTACAGTTTAAACAAAATTCCCAGGTGACCCTACTGTGCAGAGGTCCCAGATGCAGGTTATACAATATTTCAGGGAATTTCTTCAGGTTTGGTTTAATTCTAAGCATCTGAAGCTTGGTGGTTCTCAGACTTTAGAAACCCCTGGAACCTTGTGGGGGGAACTGGTTGATATCCAGACCCGTCAAGCAATGCCCTGAGATCCTGCTGCAGTGGCTCGAAAAGGGACCTGTCTTTGGATACATTGCCCAGGTGATTCTGAGGGGTGATAAACAAAGCCACCTCCAGGGAACACTGAATTCTAGTAACACCTTCATCTTTGCTGTGTATAGAAAGCAGGTCTAACTCAATTTTCATTTTCTGATTTTTGCCTCACAAAGGTGCCTTTCAAACACCACCAAGATTCAAATACAGGGGAGTCTCAACGGTTATTCCTATTTTTGTTCAATCCATCTGAGCTGGAAGTGAAAATATAAATATTCGTACTGCCTACTCTTCATTGTTAAAGTGGAAGAAGGGAAGAGCCATGTTATCTGTAAAGTGTTGACATGAAGAATAGCTACGTCAGAAAAATGGTAAGGTGGGCAGGTGGTGTGGAGCGAGTGCAAAGTGACCAGTGACTGATGAGAGGGCTGGGGATATGGCTCAGCTGGTAGAGTGCCTGGCTCACATGCACAAGGCCCTGGGTTCAATCTCCAGCACCACCAAAAAAAAAAAAAAGTGACAGTTGAGGATAAGGGACAGACCTTAGGAAGGACTCCACAGATGGGTGAGAAGGGGGCTCAGTAGACCTTAGTCTTCTAGCTGTCCAAGAAGTCTTAAAGCACGCTGCTCTACCTTTCCTTCCCTTAATTTTTTGCAGTATTGGGGATTGAACCCAGGGCTTCACACAGGCTAGGCAAGTGCTCTATCATTTACCTATACTCCCATCCTTTTTTACTTTATTTTGAAACAAGGTCTCACTAAATTGCCTAGGCGAGCTTGAACTTGCATTCCTCCTGCCTCAGCCTCCACACCACTGTGCCCAACCCCAAAAACAAATTTTATGAACATTGTTTCATCAGAGTCCTTATAAGGATGTTTTGTATAATGTACCTCTAGGAAAAGCCTACGGGAGAGGTCTCAGAATTTGCTGATGTTTGGAGTTTTTGTACAAGGTAGTAGGGGTGACAAAGCGAGCTACAGGTCATGATTTAGTCCTCTTCACCACTGTAACATTTTAGAATCCCTGGAGTCATGGAGTCTAATTCTGTCCAGGGAACTCAAGTGCAGAGAGGAGAAAGAGCTCCTCAAATTGATCAACTAATCAGGGGCAGAAGCTAAGACCGGAAACCAGGCCTCCTGAATCTCATTCCAACATTGTCTTAATCCAATTTCACAATGTCAGACAGTCAGGAGAAAACAGCAAGTCAAGGGCAGGGCAAGGAACCAAGTGGAGCTGGGAGGGACAGGTCACAAGAGCTAAAAGGACCAGAGCCTCACAGAGTCAGGCAGCACTGGAGGGTCTCTTCTAAACCTGCTTGAATTCATGACAACCCACGACTGGAAATCAGGAAAACTACCTGCCTGCAGAACAGAAGTCTGAGATCTGGAGTCTGGTTTTGCCCAGAGGCCTCTCCACTGGGATATCCATCTGGCTCTCCCCTACTTATCTCGGGAAATCTTAGTTTCCCAGTGGTAAAAACAGGGATGAAGTGCTTTTTATAGGACTGGGGGCGTATCTCAACAGGAGCATGTCCTAAGCATGTGCTAATCATGCATGAGGCAGAAAGACCTAGTTTTAGTCCCCAGTACCAAAAACACAAAAACAAAAAATGAAAAACAAATGTATATAGTAATTGGGGAAAATATGTTTTAGGGGTATGGTGAAAGCTAATACTCTGGGTGTAAGAATGGTGCTCAATACAGTCTGCCCTCCACCCCCAGCTTGGGCTTTGCGGTGGCAGGCCATTGGATGCTGGATACATTGTGGATATATTACTAACCCCCATATACTTATTTTCTCACTACTAAAAAGTGGGGGTTGTTCAGAGAGCTATTCTCTCTGTGCCCCCAGAAGTGAATACTCCATTGTGCAAACAGCTCATCCACTTAAAGGATACTGGAGAGTTCCTTTGTGGCAGTTTTCACAGCTTAACACAAAGGTCAGCCCTGGAAGCCACTCTTGATTATGGGCTGTCACAGGAGCAGCTTTAAAAGGTGGCCAGCCTTTTGGTAAAGTGTACTTGTTGTGCCTGCTTCAACTGTCACTGGCTCCTCAAAGGGTGATGTTCGTTTGGAGGCACTTTTGCAGGCAAGGCAGTATTGTGAGGAATGTCTGCCTCAAATGCCCACCTCGGCTCCTAATTTGGTTGTAGCCCTTATTGATCTACTTTGCAAAAGCCCAGGAGATCACACCTTGGTCACCTTCTCTTCCCATAGCTCCTTGCACAGACGCCTACACAGGGGGCGCTGAGCAATTGCTTATTAAATGGAATATGGCCCAGCAGGAGGTAGTCCTCTAGACTTTCTCTCTAGAAGGCTGATCTTCCCAGGGCAGACAGGAAGAGCGGTCTTTTGGGACCACAGGTTGTAAAGCAAGAGGAAGTAACATTTGCTAAGCTTACCAAAGCAGCAGCACCACAAATGGCCAATAAACATATGAAAAGATGTTCAATCTTGCTTTTTAATCTGGGAAATGCCAATTATACTCATAATCAAAAAACATTCCCCTCCCATTTGATTAGCAAAGTATTGATGTTGGCAAAGGCAGAAGTCATCTCTACTCTGTTCTTGGAGCATAAATTGGTGCTGCCCTTTTTAGAGGGCAACTTGCCAAATTTTATAAAATGCAAACTGCACATTCCCTTTGAGTAGCAGTTTCTCTTTCTAGGTATCTGTCTCATAGAGACGCAGATGCAGAAAGAGACAGGATCTAGGATGTTCACTGCTGCAATAACTAGACAGCAAAATATTGTGCACAACATAAATGACCACTAATAAGAGGCTGGGTGAATAAAATCATAGTGATCTAAATGATGGAATGAAATAGGAATTACATGGTTAGACTGGCCAGGCTTATTGTAAATGAAAAACCAAGCTGTAAAATGGAATTAGTGTGGTTCCATTTATATAAAAGAAAAAAATCTGTGAAGAAAAATTATGTATTTGCATGTAAATCTAGATGGATAGGAATAATTGTGACATTTGTACACCAACCCAATAGCATGAAGCCCTTTAAAAAAAAATTTTTTTTTCCCCTTCATTGTAGTACTGAAGATTGAACTCAGGGGCACTCTACCACTCAGCTATATCCCCAGCCCTGTCCACCCCCCACCCCACCCCACCCCCCCCCCCCCCCCCCCACCCCCCCACCCCCCGTGACAGCATCTCACTAAGGTTGGCTTAGAACTTGCAGTCCTCCTGCTTCAGCCTCTCAAATAGCTGGCATTACAGGTGAGTGCCACCATGCCCAGCACCTAAAGTATATATTTTTTAATATTTATTTTTTAGTTGTAGTTGGACAGAATACCTTTATTTTTATGTGGTACTGAGGATTGAACCCAGGGCTTCACACTTGCTAGGCAAGCACTCCACCACTGAGCCACAATCCCAGCCCCCTAAAGTATTTTGAAGAAGTTAAAATTGGGGTGTGGGGGACAGAGTTCTCATAACATGTATTTATAAAGAGATTGTATAATACTTATGTAATTTAAAATACTTTTTTTTTTTTTTGTTTTGTTTTTTTGGCAGTGCTGGAGATTGAACCCAGGGCCTTATGCATGCAAGGAAAGCACTCTACCAACTGAGCTATATCCCCAGCCCCTAAAATACTTTTAAGAAACTTATCAATCTCCTATTACATGCTAGCTCTGTGCTAGGAGTGTTAATTAAGGGTTGTTTCCTCTTTAATGCACACATCTGCAGGACATCTTTGCCCTCTTGGTAACTCCTGCCTGCCAGCCCTGGGGGCAGAGGTGCCCAGAGGACCTGCACTTAACAAACTGTGGTTGGGTAGAGGCAGTAAACAAACTGTTGAGTGCTGCTCCCATGGATTTGAGATCTACGCAGAAGAGCAGCACTTGGCCAAGTCTATCCACAGAGGGACTTTAATTTAGTGGTGAGTTACAGTGATGTCTAAGGTCTCACTACCAGGAAGCCAGCATTTGAACTTGCCCCCAGAGGCCATAGTGAACAGCACCCTGCAAAACTTTGCTCCTTGCTGGACAGTCTGAGATAAGGGCAGGATTGTGTCTGAAGGTAGTAGGTGGGGAAAGAGGAGGAGAGACTACGATATTTGGGCCACAGATGATTCATTTTCTTCACTATTTGGTATTTATTTTTGTGGTGCTGGGCATTGAACCCAGGGCCTTGTGCATGCAAGGCAAGCACTCTACCAACTGAGCTATATCCAGTATTTATTAATATATTAATATATTCAGTGTTTATTAAGCTTCTAATTATCATAAGGATGAATGAGTTGAGGGTCCCGACCTTCAGGTTGGAAACCAGGAAAGAGACTAGGTCTTAGAGCAGTAGGACACGGTACCCCTGCCTTGAAGTAATTGATAACTTGGTTGGGGTAAAAAGATGAATGAGAGAGTTACAACATCGACAGGCTATAATGGAGTGCTAAAACCACTGGGTTAATGGTGGAAGTAACTGGGTTGAAAATATGAGAAATAGTCAGAGGCTATCTGACAGGATGGTGGACACAAGGGGGAGCCACTGTGGGTTCTAGGAAGGTCCTGGTCATGATTAAAGCAGAGGATTAGTAAATAGATGGAGGGAATAGGACATGGGACAAAACAGAGGACATCAGCTTCCTAGTTCCTGCATGAATCCCCAGCCTGAGGGATGGAGAAAATGTCATATTTTCCTCACCTACTTATTTTAAATTTCATGATTTATTTTGTGGTATTCTAAGTGTTTTTTAAGCCTTGGGCGGTAGGTTGGCTTGGGTAGACTGAAGAGAAAGGAGTAAGCCTTGCTCAGTAACTGTGGTCTGATTGACAAGGGAGGTCAAGGGAAAAGGAAATTAAACTAGAGGTGAGGGGAGGGGAGATTTTGAGTGAGGGTCTCCCAGGTGTGGCATTCTGACCAGGGGAACAGGCAGGCTGGGGTCTGGTAGAAGCTCCCCAGCAGGGCACACAAGCCCTTCAGGCCTGACCTGCTCCCACATTCCCAGTTGGGCTCCACCAGCACCCCCTGAATTCCAACACAAACCTCCAACAACAAACTTCCACTCTTAGAAGCCTTGGGACCTCTGCACCTGCTGCTTACCTTCTTCTGATATGCCTTTCCTCTCCACTCCCCAAATTCCAGTTCACCCTATACTTTTTACTTTTTTTTTTTTTTTTTTTGGTACTAGGGATAGAACTCAGGGGTGCTCTACCATGGAGTTATATCCCCAGTCCTTCCCCAGGACTTTTTAAATTTTTCATTTTAAGACAGGGTCTCACTAAATAGCTGAGGCTGCTCTTGAACTTGCAGTCCTCCTGCCTTGGCCTCCCAAGTCTTTGGGATTACTGCCACTAGGCCAGCCCAGTTTCATCCTTTAAAAAGTCTAAAGCTGTCTCTTTTTGATGCATGATGACCCCTGGAAGAATCAGTCAAAGCCCCTGTTCAGTACAATACACTTTCTGCAGGTACCCTGAGCCCTCCTCCTACGCTTCCAGTATTTTACATGGTGCTCAGACAGGAAGAGTTCTGGGAATGGGTTCAGTAAAGATGCCTGAAGGAAGTTTTGTTTGGTTGGTTTGTTTTTGTATTAGGAATTGGACCCAGGGGCACTTTACCACTAGTGGGGAGCTACATCCCCAGTCCTTTTTATTTTGAGATAGGGTCTTGCTAAATTGCTGAGGCTGGTCTTGAATTTGCAATCCTCCTGCCTTAGCCTCCAAAGTCACTGGAATTACAGGCATCCGAAGTTTTGAAAAGTGGTATTACACTCCCTGGTTGGGAAATGCTGGTTGCACCTTGAAGTGGCAGTGCCAGAGAAATAGGTGTAGCTAAGTCCTGGAGCCTGGGGGTTTTCTCAGGAGGGGAGATATCTTTCTGGGGAAGGGGTAGGTATTTGGATCTCTGAGACCAGATGAGTGGTAAGTGGATCAAGACTGGCAGAGGGTGGCATAGAGGTCTGGGTTGCTGTGGTTTAGGAAGTACAGAGGATGCTGCTGGGAACTGTAGCTGCCAAGAGATGGGAACCTGCAGGGTCATCAGGAAGGCAGTTTCAGAAGAAAGGGTCAAATGCTGAAGAGCTAAAATGAGACTAAGAAGATGGATTTCTGCACCACCTAGAAATCAGGTCTGATAGTAACCGTTAACTGCTCTTTAGTGTGGCAGAGTACGTAGGATGGGGGAGGTGTTTGAGCATCCTAAATCTACCTGTGTTTCCCCAACATTCTTGCTACCTGCAGCTGACCCTACCCTCCCCCCTGGATAGCCCAGGAAGACAGTTTGGGATTCAGAGCTGGGCCCACAAAGAAACAGGAAACCTAAATGCTAATTCCATGCCAACCCCAATCCCCATTTGCTATGTGAGCTGCGGCCAGTCATATAACTCTCTGGCCCAGTCCCCTAATCTGAAAATGAGGGGATCAATAGTTTTAGAACCTGACTGGAAACTACAGCATTCTTTATGACATCTTTAATTATAGCATAGGAATAAAGAACAATTTTACTGGCAGAAAAGATATTTTGTTTGGAGATCTCACATTATGAGACCTGTAGTATTTCATTTTTTTTAATATTTGTTTTTTTAAATATTTATTTTTTTTAGTTGTAGTTGAACGCAATATCTTTATTCTATTTATTTATTTATACGTGGTGCTGAGGATTGAACCCAGGGCCTTGCACATTCTAGGCAAACAATAACCCCAGCCCAGAGACCTGTATTATTTTCAATTGTGTATACCTTTATCTCAGCTACTAGGGAGGCTGAGGCAGGACAATCACAAGTTTAAGGTTAACCTGGGCAACTTAGCAAGACCATGTCTCAAAATAAAAAATTAAAAAGGGCTGGGGATGTAGCTCAGTGGTAGAGTGAAGCATGAAGCCCTGGATTCAATACACAGCACCACAAAATTAATCAATCAATCAATTAATTAATTAAAGAACTTGTAAAACTTTTGATTAAAGTTCATTGTCACCTTTATTGGTTGGGGTGTTAAATCTGCTAAATTTTAGTATCTATTTTGATACTAAAATTTAGCAGATTTACTAGAAAAATAATTTTTGGGGGGGGTGTTACTGGGGATTGAATCCAGGGATGCTCTACCACTAAGCTATAGTGGTAGAGCTTTTAAAAATTTATTATTTCAAAACCTATTTATTTTTTGGTGGTACTGGGAATGGAACTCAGGGGCACTCTACTGCCGAGCTACATCCCATCCCTTTTCAATTTTGAAACTGGGCCTTGCTAAATTGCAGAGGCCTTGAACTTGTGATCCTTCTGCCTCAGTTTCCTGAGACACTGGGATCACAGGTGTAGGCCACAGTGCCCAGCCCAGCAAATGTTCTTAATAAAAAAGGAAAGAAAAAGAAAAAAAGTGTTAACTTTTAGTAGAAAACTTATAATTTAAATATATATATTTATCCTTATTCCTGTGAGCTGAGAAAACCCTTTTCATTATTGTAACTGAGGGAGCCCAGTTTGAGAAGCTCTTCCAAGTCTAAAAGTCATAATCTCTACATTTCCTGCCTCAGGGCTTAGTGAGAACAGAAAAAAAAATGCATAAAATGGGTCAAGAACCAAAGCCCCTGTGTTTGAGTCCCAGGGTCCCAGGAGCGAAGCCAGAGCTGAGGAAGAGAGTCTACTTCCTGAATCCCCATCCCAGAGCCGCTCAGGGCTAGGTGGCTCTCCTCTCCTCCACCTGGTGCAGGCTGCTGCCCTTTTCCCAGGCTCCTTCAGGGGAGTAATTCCTGCCTTCCTGAATCCCAAAGGAATTGGGAACAATTGAGGAGCCAGGCCCCCCCCCCCATTGTTTGGAACTTTCTCCAGAGCCAACTCTCACACAATGGCAAATGGCCTGGGGTCAAGATGATGGAGAGCTAAGGTGAAATGCCCCACGTGGTGGCAGTTTCCTCTCAGCAACCCCACAGCCCTTTCTTTTTGTACTTTCTCTTCTCATCAAACACAGGAGACAACCACGCAACAAATTATGCTTGGCGGGCTGACTTCCCTCCTTGGTCTTCCGGTCTCCACTTCCTCACCTGCTCTCCTGGTTGAAGCCCTCGTGCGCTCCCCACACCCTCCTACCTTCCCCCACAGAAGCTGCTCTTAGACAAGCTCCCTTAGGCTTTCCCATGCGTGGGCAAGTCTCCAGGAGCTGAGTGTCACAGGGCGGCCAGCCACTCCCCCAGGAGCCTTCTGTTTTCTGACACAGGCCTTCCTGCTCTTCACCACTAGCCCTCCCTCAGGCCTCTGCCTGGGCGCCTCCCCCTCTCTGCATGGCCCACAGAGGTTGCTGTTCCTGGACAGGATTCTTGCTCTTTCTCTCCTCTCTGCTAGGTGAGCTCCTTGGTTCCTATGGATTAAAATGCCAGGTTTCTTTTGACTCCACCTTGATACCTGCAGCCTGTGCTTTCCTAAGCCCAGCTTTCAGGCACCTCGCAACTCATGCTGAACCCCTAAATCCCACCTGCCAACACCTCTTCCTCCCCTAGTGCTCCTACCAGAGTAACTGGCCTAACCACGGCCATGTCTGTGGGCCAGACCCCAAAGGTGGCCTTGCGGGTCAGTTCCCCATTCCTCCCTTCTGTCAACAAGCCCTACTGATTCTGTTCCAAAAAACAACCTAAAGCTGTCTGTCCTCTGTCTTCAGTGCTGCCACTTGAATCCACATCGACTCACTCCTCTGCACAGGTTCCTTCTATGACTCCCCAGTTCAGTCAGTCATCAGCTTTTGCTGGGATCTGCAAGGCCTGGATGACTGCAGCCTGCTCCTCTCCAGTCTCATCTGGCCCCATTTTCCCACTTGCTCACCTCTGGGCAAACGGTTTGCCAAAAAGCCAGCACCTCCTCGTTTGTACCATTTCCTCTGTCCAGAACATTCTCCCCCACCCCACTTCCCACAGACCCAACTCTTCAGTTCCTTTAGAGCTGAAGTGAAAAGCAACCTCCTCTGGGGTCACCCCACCTAGAGCAGGCCTCTGTTACCTTGTTTGAGCCCCTTGTTTGTTTCCTCGTCCCCCCCATCAGAATGTCAACTCCATGAAGGCAGAAACCATATACGCACACACAGCCTAGTACACTGCCTGGTATACCATAAGTGCTTAATAACCATTAGTCCAAAGAACAAATGAATCAGTCACTACCTAGAGATCAAGTAGTTCCCTGGAAATTCTAGGGGTAACTTGAGGAGGAAGGAGGCTTGACCAGAGGGTGGGGACAGGTACATGGGACAGGTGGGGGCTCAGGCCAGAAGGCACCTCACCTCCCTTTTCCAGCGTGCCAGCCACTCGTCCCGCTTGCGCTTGCTGATGTAGTAGGGGTCCCCAGCCTGGAAGGTGAGCCGCGGCATGGGCCGCTGGCGGAGGCTGGACTCCCAGCCCAAGCCACCCCGCAGCCGGCCCCGGGAGCCCTAGGACAGAGAGACGGCAGAGAGACAGACAGGCATTAAGGTGGGCACTGTTGCCCCTGTGGGCCCCTCCTGGAAGAGGAACTGAGGGGGCACTCACCTCAAACAGAATATGAGAATTCTGGCTGCTGGCCAGAGGGGGCAACCAGGGAGTGCCGGGCAAGCCCCGTCTGGGCCAGAGAGTGAGGGATGTGGGAGGTGGGGGCATAGAGACAAGGCCACAGGGAGAGTGCTCCTCCACAGGGGGAGGATGTGCTGGCTGCATGTCTGGGGAACCTCCAGCTGCCACCCCCATTTCCTCTCCTCCTCACAGGGGGATGTCAAAGAAAGAGCAGGGGTCCACCCTCAGGATCCCCTCACACACACTCGCTACAGTCGCTCAGAGCGGTGGCTTTCTTCTAGAATCAGGATCCACAGAGCCCCTGGGGGTGAGGAAAACACTTGCCTCCATTTTCATGGATTCGATGTTGGTCTCCTTCTGTTCTTTGCCTGTGGAAAGGGAAGAACAAGGGGACTGTCGGCAGAATTACAGGGGTAGCTCAGAGGTTGCACCTAGAGCCGGGGTCACTGCCTGCCACAGAGAATAGCATTTGGTCATTCAGGTGTTAACCATGTTGGCCAAACAGACTCAGAGGAAGGCCTAGAGCACAGAGAGAGAACTGGGGCCAGTTCAAGGACAAAGTATACAGAAATAATAGAAATTGCCAGGTGTAGTGGCACATGTCTGTAGCTACTTGGGAGGCTGAGGCAGGAGGATCTCTCACATTTGAGGCCAACTTAGGTAACTTAGTGGGACCCTGTCTTAAAATAAAAAGAGTTGGGAATGTAGCTCATGGTGAAGTGCTAGACTAGCATGAGCCCCTGCATTCACTACCCAGAACTGAGAAATAAAAGACAAAAGCTGGGTCTGTGATTTCTGGCCCACTGATTCTGCCTCAGGTACACAGAAGGGGCCTAAAAATATCTCCACTGTGCAGCTCACATTCAACAGAGTTCCCTTCCAGAGCAGGGAACAGGAAAGTAGAGAGGGCCCCAGACTGGTTGCCTTCTGAGGCCCTGCAAGGGAGAGTCTGCTTCTATGTGTAGAGTAGGAAGAGGTGCCTGCAGGTAGGAGGACGTGTGACCTGGTGAAGCAACTTGTGTCTGTGATTCTCAGTCTCCTCATCTGGAGTATAATGATGCTGGAGATGATTTCCAAGATCTCCCTGAGTTCTAGCTATGGTGGTGCTGTTATTAATATCTACCTGTGTCTTCACTGCCTCCCATTCTGGGTTCCCTGAGCTCAGTTTGTAATCTACAACTCTTGGTTTTAGATTCCAACTTTCCCAGTGTGACCTCCCTAACCTCTCCTGACCGGTTTTACTGAAAAAAAAAAAAAAGTGGATAACCTTCTGACCATTCTAACATGATTAATTTAGTGAAACTCGAGCCTAGAGCCCAGCTTGGTATATAGTAGGTGTTCAATCTGTGAATGTTGTTCCCCTTCCCTAAGACATTCCCTGGCACGCAGCATCTCCCTGCTCCTCTACCCCTGGCTGTTCTGGGCCTTGATTCCAGTTCTTTGAAGGGACATCTGGCAGGGGGAGCAGAAGCCCCCTTCACCCCTGTCTTTAGAAGGATCCTCCCTTCTTCAGGGCCCCTCCAGGCCACAGAAGAGGGCAGCCGCCTGCACTTCTGCCATGGTCCTCGCCCCTCAGAGGCCCTTTCAGGGTCAGCACAGCAGGCAGTTTTAGGGGGTCTGGCTGTGGGTTTGGGTGACAGCCTTCCCTAGCTTCCTGCGGGAAGTGGGGCCGGGAGGGAGCCCCCCTGTTGCCAGGGCCCCTGAACTCCTTCCTCTAAAGCCAAGAGACTGTTGAGCTGGGGCCAAAGCAGGAAGGTCACTAAAACAGGCTGTCGGGCCGGGGGCGTGGGGTGGTGGTGGAAGGAGACAAAAGGCCCAAAACGGAAAAAACAGCCCCTGCTTCATCCCCCGGCTCTGGAGCGGAAGCCCGCAGCGTTTAAGGCTCTGGATCCTCAGCCCGGGGGTGCTTCCCTCCCTCTCGCCCTGCACCTGCCCCACGGAGCCCAGGACAGCCATGTCTGTCCCCAGAGGCTCTCTTCTGGGTGACAGCTGGGGGAGGCAGGAAGGGCCAGCCCACCCTGCCGCCCCGTGGGCCCGCGGCCCGGCGGCGCCTGTCACTCGGCGCGCGTGGAGGCGGCGCGGGGGAGGAGAGCCGCGTCTGTCACGGCACGTGTGTGGGTGGGCGAGCGCGCACTCGCGGCGCTGTGTACGTGACCGGCCTTTTAAGGTATGTCTCATCCGTCACGTCTCTGTCTCTTCCTCCCTGCGTCCTTTACGTCCTGACTCCCACCACAACCAGCCCCCTAACTTTTTGCGGGGTTCCCCTTCCGCCAGCCCAGGGCCCCCTCCTCTCCGGCTAAGGCCCCGCCCCCCTCGGACCTCCGCGCTCTGCCGGCCAGGCCCTGGGCTGCCAGCAGGGGGCGCCTGCTCTAGATCGACAGCA